TCCTATTCCTAATGTTCTGGAACTCCTCCTCTTTTTTTTTTTTGGGATAAATACTGCTCTAATAATTGAGCATATGTATACGTATGTTTATACAGAATTTTACTGCACCATGAGATTCTAATTTGGTAGGAAAAAAAGACATGCTTTCAATGACAACTGAAGTGGGTGAAGACAAGAAAACAAAAAAAAAATTGAAGTGTGTAGGTGAATAATGGGGTAAGTGGATTTACTATTTGGGTAATGATTGAAAAGATGACAATTACATATCACACCATCTATAATATATCATGACTGGTCTAGATTTTATGTACTAGAGAATCTACTTTTATAATAGTCTTTCTACAAACAACAATGCATTTTGAGTTAGTCTAGATGTCGTAGACTCATAGCCCAGATATGTACAAACACTAATATAAAAATGTGAAATAAGTTCTTTTTTTTTTGTTTTTTGTTCGAAAAACATATCTATACTATATAAATGTTCTTTAAAATATATATAAGTTCTTTAAAACATACATAACTACCTATATTTGTTGGTCGAAAATACATATATGTGAAATAAGTTCTTTAAAACATATATATTTTATAAAATAAGACAGAGTCAAATTAAGTACTTAACTACCTATTTTTAGCAGACATCAAAGTATATGAGTGTATAATGGTCAGATGAAAACGAAACTGAAACCTCCCTCTTTTGGCTCAAACATGAAGATGCTTCTATGTGTATGTATATAGGCATCAGCAGCTTTCACTTCACCGAGCTGCAAAATCCGCAAATAGAGAAAAGGAATATGAAGCAAGAATTTATCAAGTCTTGAACTCTATATAGTTTCAAAAGAAGAGGATTACTTGTAAATGAAGGCAGCGATTCCCAGGAGTATGCATAAGAGGATGATGTCAATGCAGAAATTCCGGCTTGATCTTAGCTGGGAATCAAATAAAACAGTGAGCGAATGAGAATCGTTTCGATATTTATCTCAGAGGACTGTGTGTGTTTATCAGTTATCACCTTTGTTACAGTATCTTTGAGCCTCACATTGGTGCTTTCCAAGTCAGTAGTTGCCTTGTCAATCTGAATGATGCATATATACCAAATCAAGAAAATCTAAACATGAAAGAACAACTCGATCAAGGACAAGTGTTGATTAACCTTTATATCTATTTCATCCATGAGTGGTTCTTGTCTATCAAGTTCCTGTAAATATATGTAACAGTAAGAGAATCACTATAACATGATCAATAAAGTAACAAACCAGAAGATAAAACCATACACACAAAACCTCATTGATGTCCTGAGCCATATTCTTGAGTGTATCCAATCCTTCAGATATGAAATCCAATCCTTGATCCTGCTTGTTTAGAGACTCTTGTTACAATCAGTAGACCAAATGACAAAAAAAGCATAACACACACACACACAAAGACTTGCCTGTTTTCTCCTTCTCATTTCATATTCTTGTTTAAACTGATCAGACTCTCACTCTGCTTGAAATATTCACTATCCATTCTATGATCTGAATACAATTAAGCAAGTCTTCATTAGTCAACATACCAATCTTACAAGTCACAAACTACAGAGAAGATAATATACATTACCTGAGACATTAGTATCGAACCTGATGTTCGAATACGATGTTGAAGCTGCCCAACCATTTACAGGAGCAAAGACTTCTGGTATGGCTTCAAGCTTATCTCTCAATGACAAAACCAAATCATTTCTACCTTCAAGCTCTTCCTTTGAAATCCCTTTGACCTGAAATCACTCATCTCTTATCAGAATCAGATGTATAAACACCTCACACCAATACAACAAGAATCAAAACACATCAGATTTTGTATCTTAAACAAATTTCAAAAACTCAATCAAAATTAGACCTTTTTGAGAGCAAGTCTTTGAAGTTTTGGAATTCCATCGAGCAATCGAGCTTTCGTTCTTCGAATCTCTGCGTTCATCGCCACCGATTTCGCTCTATTTGTCTCAGACGACAAATCCTCCGTTTTCTATCAGAGATCCTAACGATTACAAAAAAAAACCCAAATAGATAGAATCGGAAAAACGAAACTAATCGAACCTGAAGAACAGTTTCGAGGGCAGATTCGACGGCGGAGTAGAGACGAGAGAAAGCATCGTCGCCGGAGATATTAGCTTCTCTCTGTTTATCGATATCGTACTTCTCGTACTTTTTGCATTTGGAATCAACCCTAGTGATCAAATCAATCAAACCCATCTTCTTCGTATGATCGGAAAACAAACGCTAGGGCTTCTTTCGCCGGAGATTTTTTTGTTTCCGATTGGTTTTTAAGGTTTCTTCATGTTTGGAATATGACCAGAACAGTTACAGAGAATGGACACGTGGCTTACATATATCAGAGATTCGTTGTATTTGTTGCCACGAGGGCATACTGTGATGAAGACATTGCATTGAAGACATTTTGTATGTGTATTTAAATATAAAATTATTAAAAATTTAGTAAAAAAAAGAAAGAAAGTGTTTTTGGTTGAAATAATGAGGTGTATTGAAATATAAAATTAATAAAATTTGAGTAAAAATATGAGATAGTGGGTATTATTGGAGAGAAGATGTCTCAGGGAAGACAAAGTTGGAGAGAGAATAGATGAAAGTTGAAGTGTGTTTAAATATAAAATTAATAAAAATTGAGTAAAATGATGAAAGAGAAGGTATAAAGTTGAGTAAAAAAAAGAGAGAGTGTGTTTTTAATAATTTTTCATCGAGAGACATCTACATTTTGTCTCGAATGTGAAAGGCCTTAGAGTTTGGATTTTCTTCTTTATTTTGAAGTCAAAGATGCTGATTCTTGGTGTGTTATTGGTCAATGCTTATAAAAACGTTTTGTTTTCGTTTATAAAAATAAAATAAAGAGTAATGATTTTTTCAATCTGTATGTTAAATGTATGATCAATCAAAAAGATTTTCAGAAAAGAAAAAAATTATTGGCTTCTGCTGTGTTCTTTTGTGGTTTAAAATTTTCATTCATAAGCAAATCATTTAGTTGAATTAAATTTTATAAATTAATTTGGCTTTGCTTCTGTTTTCCATTTGGTTTGTTTTATGCAAAAGACTAAACACTCTCATTTTCTCCCAAGCCATTATAATTTTCTCCCAAAGATTGACTTGGTTTTACCAGCAGAAAATCTCTATATGAACCAGAAATGCC